AAACCGTTCCGTTTTTTCTGAGACCAGTAGTCCATGTTTCACGTAAGTTATATCGCCTCCGCCTTGACGCCCTCTCCTATCTCTTCGAAACTAATTAAATCCGGGTAGCGCCACTCCGCGGTCATCCACGTTTTCAGAAAACCAGGTTTCTGTTAAAGAGATAATGTCGGGGGGACATATCGTATATTTGCACTTTCAGTTCATCTAACTTGGATAGGAGACACTGTGCGTTGGTGTACATAAACTTCAGCGACTTATTCATGGGATTCAGTCACTATGTCACTGCAAACTTATTAGAATAAACGACTCCTCTATCGGGGATAATCGCCCAGGTTTCCGCTTCTTGCTTGATAATTGACGTAACAGCCATCACCTGCTGAACTTTCATGACACGTGGTAGAATTAGATGTGATGATTGCTTGGCCATTTTGTTCCCCCTGCGTTGGCGTTAGACGATGCATTGGCCCGAGAGTTCCCTAAGTAGCGACTTACATTGGTCAAACAGAGCATCGACCCTAAAAAGGGATTTGGCACGTTGTTTCATTTGTTTGTAGACTGAGTCCGTTAATCATGGCTGATGTAATTTGCGACTCACACGATTTTCACCTCTCGCGAGAATTTCGGCCTCATTAAATTTGAATGTGTGGCCGGGCTCCGTCGAATTAGCCACACATAATAAGTTACTTTCTTAAGGAAGAGGCTTTTCGCTCCCTAGTTCTCTCTTCATATTAAAAATTGCAAAAAAGTTTAACTCTAAAAACAATACATAAAGAGAGGGTAGAGTTGGCGAAAGTTTTAAGCAAACCAATCAATAGTAAATATTCCAATTGTTAACTTGAAAAGTCAATTTTTCAGGCAAAACATGCTTTTCGGCAACTCTTTTTCAGGGCCTTACTTTGCAAACAATAAAATTTTGAACATGCTAAAAAATCAATAATTTCTGAAGAAGAGTTGACGAAAAGCATGCTTTGCCTGACAACTTGACTTTTCAATCAATAGTACTTAGGATAGGAAGGGGTCCGAAAATTAGTTCATGTCATCTCGTCGTTCTCGTCTCGATTTTGTTGGGCAGTGTGAGGACGCATGGTGTCAACGTCTTGTGACGGCTTCGGTGGCCTGGGTATGCTTGATGCCGCATTCTCCTCACCGTTTTGCGGCGTGGTAAGAGGCGTGGGGGCGGATGTTGAAATGGCCTCCAGCCACAGGAGCCTTAAGGCCGCTACAAACGCTTTCTGCGCACATAAAAGTTTTTAGTGAGGCGCATGGCGACTGCCTCTACCGTTGCTGACACAGGAACTTTGAATTTTTACCCGACACTTTATAGACGACTCTAAACGTTTGTTTGACGTCCACCCGATGACCGCTGTCTACCAGGTGAGCCAGAATTGCCCCTGATATCGACTTTACTTCGCCTCTGTCAAGTCGAGGATTTGACGGGTATTGACGGGGATGAGGACGGGGTTTTCAGTCCGCATGTCCCTGTCGTCACCCCTTTCGTCACCCTTGGATTCCCCGTCAAAATTCCGGGGAGAGTATGCATATTATTCAATTATCCGTAAAAATAATATCAAATGTCACCTAAAAATGAGTTACCATGCATTTTAGGTCCTTTTACAGCATTCTGGAAATCTCGGGTTGCAGAAAAATATATATGCCTTAACCATGCCCCCGTCGTCACCCCGGCCCATTTTTGGGCGTGTGCTGGCAGGAATGATACATCTGAAAGATATCTTCTCATACGGGGGAAGTCCTAATAATAAATGTTTCTTTCCTACCTTTTCAGCAGACTTGGGTTGGGAAGCACCGAGCATTAAATGGGAAAGTGCTGTTGCTCTACTCGGAAATATGCGGTCCAACCTACTCCGACAGAAGTACCTAAAAGAGGCCGAATCTTTATAACTTTCAAAAGCACACAGTTAATCAGTTGACTTCGCCCAGCTTTAAAAACTAGAAAACGCATGACAGGGTAGTTTTGGAGAAGAAAAACCACGAACATTTTCTGTTCTTTAGTATAAGTGATGAACAGCAGGGCTGAACGTGGTGATGAATAAACCTGGGATAAATCCCCAGTACAAGCCACATACCTTGAGAGCTTTTACGGTAGCGCAGGACATTTGAGCTCGTACATTCAGGTTTTTCGATTACTGCTGTCCTAGGCACCGAATCAAAATCCATTCGCCAATTTGGACTGGATACACGCTTCCGTTTCTCAAACACAACAATGTGCACATGTTATTCCAATGGCTAGACAAATAACAAGCACCCAGCATAAATCACTGGTTGCGATACTTTCACTTTTATTAAAGCATGGTGACAGCAAGGTGAGTGTGGTGAATGAAAACGTCTTCTTGCGGCACGCTAACGTTGTTCAGTTGGAGTCTTGAGAAGCAAATGTCAAATGATCGGATAATAAGGAACTACTTCAGTTAATTTGAATATACTGGATTCACCGGAACTCCGGCTTCGGTAAAAAATATCAATCGTTCACCCGCCGAGGCCCCTATTTGAGACAAATTCAATGAATGACGCAGGTAACTTTTCAATATAAAATAAACAGAGAAGGTTCAATTTAAAATAAATAACATGTGTTGCAGAGGTCTCTACACAAAATTTTACAGTGCTAAGAATTTAGACGCCGAGTATCCAGAAAGAAATCTGGAGTTAAGTCCTATTCCCGCTCGTTTTTGTTTAAGCACTATCCTCTCAAAATTCAATCTTGTAGTCAACTTTCTTATCCTAACAACTGGGATGTGAGCTTATTTAAAGGCATTGCATGAAATATTTTGGGTTTGGTCAAGTATTCTGTTTAAACTTATCAGAGTTCGACCTTCAGCAAAACGTACTCCGCCCGCCATTTTTCTTTCGCGTTCTGATTATGGCACAGCGGGGTTCTCTGCTTTCGACAGAAAATAGGTTGCTAAATGTCTCAATTGCCAAAAAGCCAGAGACCGAGAGGATAACGGAACGTACGCAGAAGACAGTTAAGCCTAAAGAAGACCTTAAAACTCATCTTCCGAATACTTCCGCTACTCGAGGCGTTTATGAAAATTTCCAAGACTGGTTTGCACATCAGGATGCGCTCAGTCACGACGAATCTGTCGAATTTTCTCTGCCTGAAATTGAGACCAATAAATCGGCTGATATTAAGGACGTCAGGGGAAATGTATCAGCGGAAGCTGATCTGTTGAAAGTAGCTGCATTAATTTTTTCTAAAACTTTCAGGAGAACCTCATAATTCTTGTTTCTGGCACAATTGTTCCCAGTTTGTCTTTCAAAAACAAAGCTATTCGTAAGACGGCCATGGAAATGTTAGACGAGCTTTCTAAATCCGACCCGGAGTTTGTTCTGAAGGTTGTCAACAATATAGCGTTAACATATTTTAGACTGCATTATATTGCAGACAAGAACTGAATATTCGTTTTACGACAAACTTTTTACTGGCCTACGCAGCTGCCAACGAGGCTTGTAGACCGTACATCGGAAAATATTTTTCCTCTTCGATTAATCTACCTTCAGACTGGATGGAAGTTGTTCAGACCTATGAGGTATATCCTAATTTTTCCATGTTTTTTGTAGTTAGTACAAGACCCATCTGCTAAGCGCGGCAGCCTGCCACAGGCCCTTCGGAAAGCTATGAAGTCTAAATTCAAGGAATTCGATCAATATCAGTTAGGTAAATGAAACTATCGTTTCCCATTTTCTTCAGCCAAGTACAACAGGGAGCTAAAAGGGGAAACAAAACCCGCGAAGAACGCTTCGGATACGAAAAGGGTATGTTTTTTTAAAATTGTTCGTACTTTTTCAAAGGATTTTGTATAGTCCGGTTTGCTCATATAAATTTGTACAATTTTTGAAGGAAAGAAATGAAAGTGCATCATCCAGCGGGGACGAAGCTGAACCCGTACACAAGCGACCGCTGACGCTTAAGAACTTGATACGCCAGTTACACATATCTGAACCAAAGGACAACGTCCTGTGCCTTTTGGGAAAAAGATACCCCTCTAGCGCTCAGGAGTTTCTGCAATGTGGTCTCAGTGGAGAGTGGCAACCAGAGTTGGTTGGCACAAAGATGAAACTTCCGGTGCCGTATACATGGGAAACGGAGCTATCTAAAACACCCATTAAATCACAGAAGGAGGCATGGGAACGTCTTATTGGTCAGTCTAAATGATTGCTATTATTCTTCTATGTGCTAATGTTCATGACGTTTGTGTATGGGGTTTGATCTTGAGATATAATTAATTAAACGACCATAAAAACCTATTAGTTAGGTGTAAAATTTTAAATCTTGGATAGTGCTCTATACATACGCCTAGGTTAGAAAAAGAACCAAAACAGTATTTGCTATGCAAAACGGTTTTCTTATAATAGTAAGCTGTACAATGCTATTTTGAGCTTCTTGTGGTGTAGATGCATAAAATGGCCAATACAGATACCGTACTGTACAGAGCTCCTGATACTGGGATCTGTTCACAAGTATTTTTTATTTTTCGTGACCGCACTACTTGCTTATTTTAAAATATCGTACTCCATATTTTTAACATTCCACATCCAGATTCACGCAAACTACCCTACATGGCTCTTATGAGAAACCTACGTAATTTGCTCCTGGTGGGCATTGGCAGTGATCAGAAAACCCAGGCTATCAAGCATTTGACCAACAAGGTGACATCATATACCCCTCCCATACATCATCTTTTGCTCTTTGTGATTTGAGATGTTCTATGCGCGACATTCTCCATTTTATCATGTTGACAAATTAGGAATTACAGGGCGGAGATATGGCAGGAAATACGGGTCTCGGGTATATTCTGTCCTCCTTCAGCTAATAATAATCCTGACTACCAGCTAAGACTGGATTCATAAGTATGCGCGCGAGTACGGTTCACGCAGTCTACATACTGTATTTAGCAGATAAGTTGTAAACTGAACCAAGGTTCATCAGTGCCTCACCAGCTATCATCCTCTGACGCTGCAGATTCCAACAGGAATGGGCCCAATTATAATTTAACTGACTTTGGACTGATAGTTGGTTACCCTTTCGTGACCTCTGTTGCCCATCTGCAGCTTATTTGATTAGGAAAGCTAATGGATCGATGTGCGCCTATATCAACGCGTTTTAATTCATTTTCATAAGTTGCGTTCTTTGAGCTTTTCGTTCGATGTTATTTCTCATGAATTCATATCTGGTTGAAAAATTCTACTTTCTGTTTGATAGCCAAAGTATTTTGGTATTGCGTATATTAATGGAAGATTATTTATATGATCCAAGTTAAAGATAAAAAGAAGCCTGATGTTGATGTCTTGACAAATTTTATTTTTATACGAGTCTTTTGAGCCTACGCTGTGAAAATTGTGTTTTCAGTATTTCTGAGGGTGTTTTACATGGACTAAGGTCCGTTTATTCTATTTTGTCAAGCCCCTTTTGACTAGATGATGTGAGAGTTAACGTTAGTTTGATACGGACCTGACCTTACACTTTTGCCAGTAATCCCATACCGTATTGCAGTTTTGTAGTTAAAGGAACTTTTAACCTCACATCCTGCCATTTTATAGGGTGCCGTGTCGTCCTCCAAGCAGATGCCATTCCGTTACTTTGCTGCGTACAGTGCCCTCTCAAGCGTTGTGGCCGGTAATAAGAAGAACACGAAGGATCTACCGACGTCTATTAAAAGTGCGACTATTTACTAATATGGACATTTTTGGGCATTTTGAGTCTATGTTCCTACTTATTTTATGCTTATTATTTATTTTAGTTACACGAAAACAAGCTATAAAGCAAGAGCGCTTGAAGAAGTAAGTCTTGTTCCTATTTTGTAAGAGGTTTTTACAGTGGAGCTAAGACCAGCCTTGAGTGCACTTTCAGTCTGCGCCTGCACTCTCCTCTTTTTATTCATCCAAGTTAATGCATACGTTGAAATGTCTAGCTTGAATTCCAATGTTTAAACTTTGCTTAACGACTGTCTAAACAGCGTAAATATGGCGGAGCTGAAAGAATATACTCAAGCTGTTGAAACGGCGTTCGAAATTGCTGTGCGAAATAATTTGCCCGTCGTCCAGGGATCGACTCTTATCGTCATTGACCTAAAGGAAATCCCCTCGGAGTCCGTTAGTTCTTTTGGCCTCCTTTCCAACAGTGTAAGTGTTGTTTTTTTTACTTTCGTACATTTACATCAGTCAATGCTTGTCTCGCTTGTCTTTTAACTCTTCGTGCGAATGGTGTGGAAGCATCTAATTTACTTCTAACAGAGTAGGTCACATTTACTCTATTCTTAGGACATTATGCCAAAACATATGTGGTTCTCTTAATGTTCGGTAGACATATATATCGGAATTAGACCAACTGTAAGAGAGAAACGGAGACAACGGTTGTTTTCATGTTATTTCAGTGCCTGAACTTAAGAACATACACAAGCACGTACACCGTTGTTTATACGCGACATTGACTTATCTACTAGTTTTAAGGGGGTGGGAGCCGTTATGCCTTAACGGCTATCAGCGAAAAGTACACGTCAGCTGGTTCTTGGCCGCAGAAAAGCCGCCCACGCCGTTGTTTCGAGCAAACGTGACGACTGCCTACACAGCGTGGGAATTGGCCACTCAACGTGGGCACGCCGCAATCCAGAAGTTTCCGGAATGCCCGGTCGCGTACTATACGCCAGGAATGTTCTAGAAAGACCAGGACCTTATAAATACACTGTAATGGACAAACTAAAAAAGCCACAGTCTCTGCATGGTCAGAACCGACTCTTTGCCTTCTTCTGCCTATTAGTCGGGTCATAACATTAGGATATGAACATCACAAGGCAGAGGTTGTTACTTTGAAACAATT